TCAAATGTAAATTGTTAACTCTTCGTGGATTATAAAACACAATATTTGATTCATTACCTCGTACTAAAAGGCTAGTCAAAAATACATTTAGATCTTCATAACATATAGGTTGCCAAGTCAACACTGACAAACTGAAATCAAAGAAACTGCATACCGTCCCTTTTTGAAAAATGCAAATCTTTTCGGACAAGTAATGGTAAAAAGCTCGATTATAAGCTTATATTATAAATACAAAGTCGTAAAGCTTTTAACACTGAAGACGCCGTAACAAAACCATCTCAACTAAGTTTCCTCTCCCAAACAATTGGTACCAGAAAGGACTTGGTAAAACTACGTCTCAAAAATGCTCGACTAAATTTTCTTCCATTTGAATAATGCAGTGAAGTACTATTAAAAAATAGAATTATCAAAAAAACCTCGTTCCAACCGATTAGCTCGAAGAGCGAATTTCACAAATGTCTCTGCCATTTATTCATATTTTTCAAACAATGCAAGAAAATGTCGCATGGAAAGCCTTTAATAACTTTTACCTTACAAAACTGGCAAACCTGGAGAAACTATTCATAAAAAACTGCCTATCACAAAATGACTACGAGAGACCTAAAAAAAAGAGCGGCTAATGCACTGATTCTTTAGATGGATGCCGTAAAATCTCGTAGTTCTTAAATCGCCACATCCATGCGTCCTTCTTTTCGTTAAAACCGACTTTATAAATATCCCATATTCTGTTTTCTACCCGATAGTCAGTAAACAGCTTTGGGAAGTATTCAACGAAGTGGTCGCGGGAAAAATGTTCTACAGGTGGAGCTCTAGCCCACTTCTCTTCAACCTAAAAATATTGGCCAAACTGCATGACGATTCTAAAGTGCCATTTCAAACAAACAACGAGAAGAACCAACAAGTATTTTACCTTTTTGTATTTTACCTACCTTTTTTGCCTCTGCAATAGTGTCTGCAGCTTTCATTTCATTCAGTTTCACCATCAGATCAACATACTCTTTCCACTTCTCAATTTCCTAAACAATTATCTCAAAAGTTCAAAGGAGTTCAATTTCTCACCACCATTAACAATGGTAAAGCAACAAAGCGAAACACAAAAACAAGGCATTTTTGCTGAAAAAGAAATTTAATTAAAAAAGGAACCTTTAAATGCGTTTCAGGAATCTCCCCATAGGATACTGAGACGCCTTCATACTGTTTCTGCAGAGAAGCAATGGTAGATGCGTGGTGGGGCAAACGCTTTTTTAGAGCCTCAAAATCATATTTCGGGAGATCTGCCGGGGATTCCAAAACTTGTTCAAAATATTGAGAGTGATAGGTCTAAAAAAAAGGACATGATAAATGAAACCGTCTTATGCCGTGTTACCCCAAATACTTCTGAAACTTTTTGAACCCACTAGTTTTAGACTGCAGTTAAGCTTAACTCACGAGAAGAGACAAGATTCTGCAATTTTAAATACAAAAAGAAGCCCGTCTTATTTCCTCTATCTGACCCGTTTTAAAATAGAAGACTTATGACATTTCGTTTTGAAAACGTTCAAATAGCAACGGTAAAGTAAAGGCTTACAGAGACCAAAAAACAGCCCGTCTTAAAAAGCACTTTTGCAGAATTAGTTGTCAAAAAATTTGTCATGCTTTCAGATTAGGGAATAGGGAAAGCTGAGGATTATCAGACAGGAACTGAAGTGAAACTGTGTGAAAGTGTTCTTTTCCTTTTAGTCCCAATTTAAATTTCACTAAATAAATACTTGTAATTGAAAAAGACATGTCTTCATTTTGAGAAACACCATGCCTTCGGTCCTAAGCAATTTTCCTGGATAAATTATGCCACAATCAAAACTGAGACTTGATCTACTTTTGCCAAACCTTAAATTCTTTATTTTCTAACGTCGAAAATTTTAGACTTGAAAAGACAGAGAACAGCAAGCTCAGTACTTATTCATAAATGCTAACATAGTAATACAGAAAGAACTTTAGAAAAAAAAACTTAGCACGAAACTCTCTTTCGTCCGCTAAGAAATGATAAAAGTGAAATGAATTAAATTAAATATAAGTGAGTACTACAAATCCGCTTTTAAAAATAAACCTTTGTTTTAGAACGAAATTTCGTTTTGGTAAAAAGTTCTAGACAGACAAAAAAAACCCTGCATCTGTCCTCTTGCAGTAACTCAGAAAAAACTCCATTAATTACAATTTTAGGGTCAGTATTCCATCATAAAAAAAGCGCAATTTTTGGATAGTTTTAACCTCAACCTTTCCCACCACTTTTTACTTCTTTTTAAAAACACACAATCAAAACTGAGTCACTGC